TAATAATAATAATAATAATAATAATAATAATAATAATAATAATAATAATGGCACATGGGAGAAGGCATCTGAAGGAGCTTCTTTCTCTCTCTCTCTTTTTCTCTCTCCCCCTCTCTCCGTCTCTCTCCTCTTCTCCCTCTCTCCTCTTCTTCCTCTCTCTCTTCCTCTCTCTCCCTCTCTCTTTTTCTCTCTCCCTCCCTCTCTCCCCCTCTCCCTCTCTTTCTGCCCCCTCTCCCTCTCTCTCTCACACACACACAGGTGACAAATTCGTTCAGATGACTTGGACCAAGATGGGGAGGGTTTGGGGGAGAAAACATCGCCAAAGATTGTAACCCCCCAGGAAACGAATTTAGGTCCTCCCTGCCTGTTTGCCTTTGTCTATCAAAAGCAGAAAGTTCACCCATGAAAAAGATGGCTTCTAGGAAGCCCACCCCACCCCCAGCAATAAAAGGACCAAAACCCATCGTGGGTATTGTTTAGTACGGCCAAGGTCTGAAGCAGCCATGCTGGTGGCCATAGACTCCAGTCCTTCTGCCTTTTGGGCAGAGCTGGGCACACGATGAGAGTTTGAATCCAACCACTTGGTGGTCACCTCGTGGAAGGAAGACTCGTACAAGAGGAACAAAGCCAACTGAAGCCTACCCCCGCCCTCCAGCCCTTGGTTTTTCAAGACAATGGTCTTTAGATCACAAAGTATTTTTTCCCCTCTTAGGCCTTGCTGATTTGTCTGGGAAAAACAGGGAGCCATTCACTCAACCCCCACCAGCCCCTTCCTGTATGGTCTGAGACATTCAGGATTGTGCCCAGTAACGGAGTCCTTGTGCACATTCCTGGGTTTAGGACGGATGCTGAAGATCAAACTGTTGAAACCCAAGATTTGTCTTGCTTTGCAGCAAAACCGGGGAGAGACGTTCTCGGTGATTCGCCAAAGAGGCCAGGACAGAAACACTTCGCAGCACCCACCTGGCGGGAGGTGAGGCGATCAGGTAGAACCCTTCTTTGGATGGCTGCCTGACCCTCCCCCCACACACACACACACCTCGGAAAAGGGGGAGGAACCTTCCAGACATCTGGATTTTTAGCTTGACCTTTTCCCCCTGGACAAACCCAGACAGAAGTGGGATAACGCTGTCCCTGGGAAGCCTCCAATCCATAAGTCCCCCTCCTCTTCCTTCTCCTCCTCCTCCCACCCCCCTCTTTCCGTCTCCATAGCAATTGTTGGCCAGTTGATAGATTCAGAAGCGAAATTGGTCCATTGTACGGCAAAGCATTTCTCTTCCTTCTTCGATGGTCAACCCTAGTAAGATTTTATGCCTCCGCTTTCTGCAGACACCACCATCAACCGAATGCAATGCCCAGAATATCCAAAGCCCCACACAATCTCAACCTAGGAAACCAAGTTCCAATTTTTTTGGGGGGGGGGAGGGAGGGAGGGAGAGAGGGAGGAGCTTCATGGCACCCTGCTAGGACATCACTTCCCTACCCATTGCAGCTCGAACAGAAAGGAAACAACCCCATCCATCTTCAGGCGATCCTAAGGACTCTACTGTTTCTCCTTGAACGTGGAGTAGCTACAGGGGTCCATGGGTTTTGAAGGCAGGGCAGGGCAAGATGTCCCTGGCCCAAGCTTCCAGGGGAGGGTGGGAGGTAAAGTGCTACTTCCTAACCCTACCAGATGCCTTCAAGTGTCTATCAGGTGCAAGTACGGCCGTCAAGGGAGGCCGAGGAGCACAGAATGTTCCTTCTGGCTCTCGACTCAACCCCGGTGGGGAAAAACACACACACAATGGTTGCCTTTTTATTTCAACAAAGCAGCCCCCCCCCTCCCCAACCTCCTCATATGAGCTACATTACAGACCCCACTCAGGTTCCTCCTGGCAAAGACAACCTCCCCTCCCCCAAAGTGGGCTCTGCTTTCTGTTTCTCACACGCCCCTCCCTCCCGGGCGAGCGATGGGGAAGGTCTGTAGCCATGCGAGGGGACAGCTAGTGGCACACCACGCGCTTTCTCTCTCTCTCTCTCTCTCTCTCTCTCTCACACACACACACACACACACACACAAAAGGGAAGACTGCAGTATTATAGGAGGTCTTTCCTTCACGGGGGTGGGGCAGGGGGTGTAAATAGGTTGGTTTTTCCTTCCCCCCCTTCTCCCCTCTTCTTCCAGGGCTGGGATGGAAAGGCAAGTGAGGTGGAGGGAGGGAAGGACAAGGTTGAGGAGCCAAGGGAACCAAATAACCCCCCCCCAAAAAAAAGACACAAAGAGAAGGAAGAGGAGGAGGCGGGAAGGGGGTGGGTGAGTGGGTGAGCTATGGGGCTGGCATGCCACTTCTCCCCCATCCTTTCATTGCCCCCACCCCACCCCGCTTCCTCCCCCACACCCCCCACCAGAAAAGGTCAGCCAAGCCTGGGAAGATGGAAAGAGAAGAGGGGGGTTGGAAGGGGGGGGAAACTGAAGGACCATTCAAGACAACAGGAAAGGGAATGATGGAGAAAGGGAGAGCAAGAAGGATGGGAAGGAGCGAGCGGAGGTCCTTTTACCTTTAGAAGCATCTTTCTCTTCTTTCGACTTGATCACCTTCCCGCTCATAGATCCCAGTTTGGTTGTAAAGATTCCCCCAGGATACCGCGTGGCACAGCCAGCCGGATTTCCAAGAAACCAGGGAATAAGAGGGACGCGCAGAGAGAGAGAGAGAGAGAGAAAGAGAACGAGAGAGAGAGAGATGGCTGGCTGGCTGGCTGGCTGGGTTTTTCTTCTTCTTTTCTTCCTTCCTTCCTTCCTCCTTCTTCCCTTTCCTTTGGTCCTTTTTGTTGTTTTGGTCTTTTTCTTTGTTGTTGCTCTTTTCCTTCTTTCGTAGATCAGGGGGAGGAGGAGGACTGAAGAGGAGGGAAACCCTAGAAGTGGGGTTGGGGGGTGAGGGGGTGGGGGAAAGAGAGAGGGCGAGGAATCAATCACGGATGAAACCGAGACCTGACTGGCTGCCTGGTTCCTTCGGCGCCTGGCGCAGGAGAATGCGCCCAATACCACCACCACGGAAGCTTGGAAGGTTTGGGAAGCGCTGCTGGGGAGGGGAGGGAAGGAAAGACGGCCCGAAAGGGTGGGGGGGAGCTGCCTTCTTCCCACCCCCTCCCCTTTGAGGAAGGACGAAAGGGGGACGGAAGAAGGTTTCTTTCCTTCACATCTGCCAGGTTTTCTCGGTTTCCCCCCAGTGAGCTGGGAGGTTTGCAGGAGACAAAAGCCACCCACTCCCCCTCCTTCTTCCTCCGTGCACCACCCCCCTCTCCCCGTTTTTTGTTTTTTGTTTGTTTTTGCTGGAAGAAATTCTCTTCCTCCTCACCAACCGCCTTTTTCTCAAGAAGCCACAAAGACCTGGCAGTCCTGGAGAACCTAAGCTTTGGATGAGGAACCCACCTTCAGATGCCTCTGGAAGGCAGTCACACCCCTCTCGTTTGGCCCTTCTCCAACCACCAAGGTTGGATGGTCTGGAGACATGAGGTGGCAGACAGCTGGCTAGGATTGTCCCCCACACCTCCTCCTTGGAAAGTCTAGAGAAGAGGGGGGGGAGAAGGAAGGGGTTGTTCTTCACCGGAAGATGCCAAGTTTCAAAAAAAATAAATAAATCAGGAATCTCAAGGAAGGACCAGAGGAGATGTTGAGGTCTTTTAGTTCTTCAGGTGAGGCAAGCAGAACCTACCTGTTGGGATCCAGAGCCAAGGGGGATTATAGTCTCAAACGGGAAAGGTATTGATTGACCTTGTTAGGAATGGATAGTCACCTATCACCAAGGAGTCCTCCCTGATACAATTGGGGGAAGGAAGAAGGAGGGACAAAGGAGCATCGTTCTGATATTTGAGGGGCTCTTACGAACAAGAGGGGGGGGGTGTCCACCTGTTCTGCAAGGCACCTGAAGGCAGGAGAAGAAGCAACGGGTGGAAACTAATCCAGGAAAGAAGCAACGTGGAATGAAGGAAGAACTTCCTCACAGGGAGAACAATTAACCAGGAGAACACCTGGCCTCCAGAAGTGGTGGTGCTCCATCACTGGACGTTTTTAAGACAGCCATCCAGGTTGTTTCCAAGGTGCTTTTTGCAAAAGGCCATTGGACTTCCTTGGTTTTATTTTTCTTGAAGACATTTTGCTTCTTGTCCATGGAGGAAGCTTCTTGGATGAGAAACGAAATAGTCTTCAAGGAAAAATAAAGTCCAGCTGCCTTTGGAGAAAAGTGCCTTGGAGACAATATGATATAATCTTCTTCCAGGATAATTTTCACAAGTTCCCAGGCTAGACTTGTGTTCTGGTGGCTTCCATTCAAGGATCACCAACTCCGTTTTTTCCCCAAATCAGCCAAGAAAAGTAGGCACTCCCACCCATCAATGTCATCTTAAAAAGATGTCCAAGGGTGGGACGAGAAGAGACAGCCCCATCTTTCCTTCTGTTGACTTTCCAGGAACTTCATAGGAGGAAGAGCTCCGTCTTGGTCTTTCCCCCCACTCATCCAATGGGAAAGGGACAGTCCTGATTCTCCTAAAATTTGGGGATAGGCTAAACTATTTTCAAGGACAGAGGGTGCCGTGTTACCAGGACTGAGTGGTATGATGTGTGTCTTTCAGTGATGTGTTGAAAGCCACATTCTCAAAAGGGGACAGCTGGTGCCAGGGAGAAAAAAAATGATCGATTCCATTTGGCTGGATGCTTAATTAAAATTAAATATAGTTCATCGAACTCCTCTTCACGCATGTGTTTCATAGCTTTGTCTATAACTAGCTCGATACCTGTGCTTCGCTGAGAAACTAGGTGATCGGGCTTAGTTTTGGGGGAGGAAAATAAGGGGAAAAATTGTGCCTCTGCCTACCAACATCCATTGGTATTCCTCTGGCTAGTGTCCTGTCAGTTGTCAGAGAGTCAAGGGCTGTTTTGGAAACTCAAACAGTATTTGCTGTGTGGGCAAAAAGGAGACAGCAAGGAGCTTGGGCGTGGCTTAGCTCAACTGTTCTGTACTAAAGCTGCTTGGTGCTCTGAAACTAAAACTGAAACTCCTCTGCTTGTGTTTTGCACTTGGAAGAGACTTTTTTTCAGGTGGGAAGGGGGAGTAGAACTCCTTAGCATCAGAGCATGTTAATAATAATAATAATAATATACAAAATACTAATGTTTTGATCATCATTTTGAAAAATATTTTCTTAGTGAACACTTAGAAGCCAAGAGGAACATACGTACCAAATTATAAGTTTGTAGGTTTTACGGTTCTGGAGATTTCATGATGATGTATGAGGGGTATTTCACTTATGTAGATAGATAGATAGATAGATAGATAGATAGATAGATAGATAGATAGATAGATAGATGATAGATAGAAGATAGATAGATATAGAAGATAGTTAGAAGATAGTTAGAAGATAGAAGATAGATAGATAGATAGATAGATAGATAGATAGATAGATAGATAGA